CTGCTTGTGTTCCCTCTCTCGCTGTGTCTCTCTCTGTCAAATAAATAAGTAAAATTAAAAAAAAAACAACACAAAAACAAACACTTACTTGAGCTTCTGCTCAGCACTGAAGAAAGGAGGATGACTAAGATAAACGTCAGTCCACAGGGAGTGACAGGTAGCATTCCCAGCTGAGGCAAGTCCTTTCACCCCCTTGACGTTGGAGATCAAGGGCTCAGAGAGGCAAAGTGACTTGTGCTATATCACACAGCAAGCTGCTGACAGAGGGAGGCGAAGAACAGGGCCTCCCTACTGGGGATGAGAAAGCGAAGGAAGCAAAATCAGCAGCCTGACACTCCCTGGTTTTCTTCCCTGCAGGCTTTCTGGAGTAGCAGAAAGAGCACTGACCTGGAAGTCAGGAGACCTCATTTCTGCTTCTAGGTCTTAGAAGCACGTCCTTTCTCTGGGCCCCAGTTTTCTCCCATATCCAGGAGGAAGGCAGCCTCCAGAAGAGATTTACATTTCCTTCAGCTCTTGTTTTCTTGCTTTCTCGAATGTACCCAGCATTTCCCCGCCTCAGTGGCTTCGCTTGCGCTTGCTCGCTTGCTCGGGTTTCTCTGCCTCTTGGAATGCCCCTTCCCCCTCTTCCTCTGATATTCTCCCAGTCATCTGTGACCTAATTCACATGCTGCCCCCTGAGGCCCCCACAGCATTTGGGATCTATTGAGCAGTGGCCCTATGTCTCTGCTATCAGAACAGACAGAGCCTCCCTCATGCTGCAACCCTCCCGCCCTAGGGCAGGGCCTCTCTGCCAGGAAGGCTGCTGTTTTTGTCAGCCACCCCTGGAAGAGTGGGGTGAATTCTGCCCCCCCACAAACCCCCCTTCCAATGCACCTCTTTCAACTTCCCAAGATGGAGCTCATCCTTCCTCAGAGTCTCTAAGAGATGGTGCCTTCCTGCTAGGCAGTTAGCCCCACCTGGGGCATCATACTGAGGCACTTCGGGCAAAGGCAGCCACCCTGGGAGGTGACCCCAGGAAGCACAAGGACAACCAGGGCCTCTGCGGGAAGAACGGCTGCCCCACCTCGAACGGCTGCCCCACCTCATCTGTCCCGTCCTCCTTCACAAACACCTGGGAAGAAATCCTCCCTCACAACAAACATACCGCTCCTGTTCCCACAACCACACCCAAACCCAGTCCTACCTACCTGCCCACAGAGAGACCAGCAGCTTTGCAAAGATGCAACCCTCTGCTCCCCATGCCCCTGCCCTGGGCCACACGGCGCATAGATTTATTACGCATGCGCACATGGACGGGACGTGGTCACACACGAACACGCGCACGCGCACACACACATACACATGCTGACATGTGTATACATACACGTGCATACACGTGGATGTATACATGGGTAATATGAGTGAATGCGTGGGCAGGCCGTGGTGCCCACATGGGCTCCTCGCCACCTTCCTCTCTCAGGTGAGCCAGCTCATCCTTGCCAACGGAGGATCCTCCGGGGCAATGTGGGGTGAGGACAGTGCTCCATTGTTGGCTTCTGGCTGCCTCTGTACTTCTCCTAAACTAGGCTCTTTTGTCTTAATTTCTCTTACTGATGAATGACTCTATGGGTAGCTGAGGCGTGGTGGGTTCTCTATGGGCAGCACCTTGCTTGGCTGGCTGACAGGAATGGGGGCCCGGGGCGGGGCGGGTAAGGTTTCCATCACTTATGTGAACAGATGTCTCCAAGTAGCCATCGTTTTGCGGGACCGACCGGAAGATGTGAGGCTGATCTCATTGCTTTCACTGGCAGGCCCTTGCCTCCATTCCACCCATTCTTCCCGTTGCTACAGGGGTCTTAGGCTCATAGTCTCTTCCCACAGAGAGGTAGGAAGGCTTTGAAGAGGGCTCAGTCCCAAGGTTGATGTGGCACCTCTGGGCCTGACAGCAGGGTCCTAGACAGGCTGGCCTAGGACCTCACGTGGGGTGGGGGGCTTCTCTTGGCCACTTCCAGGGCAGCGCAGCAGCAATCCAGAGAATGGTGAGGCAGAGTGGTTGCATTTGACACAATTACCCAACCTAGGGGTTGGGCAGGGAGCAAGCTTGGATTCCATGAAACCCAATTCAGCTGGAGTCACTGGGCACACAGCATGGGCCTAGCAAGGTGCTGGGATGGCTGGGGACGGTGAGGGGGTAGATACAGAAATGAATAAGATACAGCAACTATCTTCTAAGAGTGCATGTGTGCCTGGGTCTCATGGAACTCCACATGGGCGGAACAGCCTGGAGAGTGGAGCTGAGGGGCCGCCCCAGGTCTGTCCTCCCCTACACTATCCAGTCAGTCGCCCGTCCCCTGGGTGATTCTTGTTCCATCCTTCTCATGCATTCTCTCCTTTCAGTGCTTACTGCCAAGGTTTCAGTATCTCTTACCACCTCCCTCCGGGAGCTTCTAATTGGGGGAGGGGTTCTCACCTCCAGTCTTGTATCATCCCTCACTCTGCTGCCAGAACCAGCTGCCTCAGACACACAACTGATCTGTAACTGGCTCGCCATCACTATCAGAACGGAGGTCCGAAGGCCTGACAGGGGAGAGTCAGACCTTTGTGCACAGCACGTGTGACCCCTGCCCATCTCAGCCTGCCCTCAGCTACACACTAGGTCCCAACCTCCCTGCTCCCCTATCTGGCCATGCTGGTGTACACATCTGAGGCTTTGCATGTGCTGTTCCTATTGCCTGGAATGCCTGTCCCCTCCTTGACCTAGCAAGGACCTCCTCCTTATCTTTCTAGACTAAGGGGTCCTTTCTCATTCTCTCTTAGAACACATTTTAGGGGCACCTGGATAGCTCAGTTGGTGAAGCATACAACTCTTGATTTCAGCTCAGGTCATGATCTCAAGGTTGTGGGATCAAGCCCTGCGTCAGGCTATGCACTAGGCATGGAGCCTGCCTGAGATTCTCTCTCTCCCTCTCCCTCCGCCCCTCACCCCCCTCTCTAAAAAACAAACAAACAAAAAAAAAAACACACTTTAACATAATGCTGACAAATAATGACTTAAAAGCCAACATTTCTACATAGCAGGCACACTTCTGATTGCTTTATATATTACATATAAACAGATAATTCTATTTATTAGTACACATTAGCTCATTTAATCCTCACAACCTTGATAGATACCGTAATTATAATTTCCATCTTATAGGTGGGAAAGCAGATACACAGAGAGTTTAAGTGACTTCTTTACCTAAAGTGGCATGCCTGGGCGCCTCAGTCAGTGAAGTGTCTGCCTTTTGCTCAGGTCATGATCCTGGGGTCCTGGGATCAAGTCCCACATTTGGCTCGCATGTGCTCGCATGCTCTCTTGCAAAAATAAATAAAATCTTTAAAAATTAAAAAAATAATAAAGTGGTATGTCTAATAAGTGGTAGAGTGAGATTTACACGTAGCCATTTCAGCCAGAGTCTGTACAGTTCAGCTCTACACTATGCTGCTTCATTCCCTGTCTTACATATTTGCCAACTTATGTAGCTTTGAGCAACCAGATTCATTTAATGTTTGATGAATGAATGAATGAATGAACTCATTAAAATTTAATGCAGTGAAGAAGTAGGGCTCATCTTCATTCATGTAAGATGTCTGCTATGCCAAAGCTATTTTATTTCAGAGGATATAGAAAAAAAAATTTTTTTAAGATTATTTTTTTTATTTATTTGACAGAGAGAGAGTGAGAGAGGGAACACAAGCAGGGGGAGTGGGAGAGGGAGAAGCAGGCTCCCCTCTGAGCAGGGAGCCTGAAGTGGGGCTCGATCCCATGATCATGGGATCATGACCTGAGCAGACATTTAACATCTGAGCCACCCAGACGCCCCAGAAAAAAAATTTTAAAAATAGATTTTTTTAAAGATTTTTAAAAATTTTTTATTCATCTGGCAGAGAGAGAAAGAGAGCACAAGCGGGGTGGGGGGGGGTAGCAGAGGGAAAGAGAGAAGCAGGCTCCCCACTGAACATGGAGCCCGAAGCAGGGCTCTATCCCAAAACCCTGGGATCATGACCTGAGGTGAAGGCAGAGGCTTAACCAACTGAGCCACCCAGGCACCCCTTAAAAATAGATTTTGAGAGTAAAATCCCATACATCCTATTTTCATTTTATCTTCTTGTCTTTTACATGGAATTTATATGGATTTCCAAGCCCAAGTTTTTTCAAGTCAGTGAAGAGAGAGGTCCTCAAGACCTTCTAATGACCCACTTACCATGACCTCCTGCCCATGACACAGGCAGGTGTTGGCTCATACTGAGCGATCTCTGTGCTTAAGCTGCCAGGAAGCCAGATCCACTAAGTGACCTAATGCCAAGTGAATTATGGCCGATGCTGAAAGAACATCCTATCTCAGCACACCAGCCAGGGACAGAGTTGTTCCAACCAGGGATGTCTGTGAGGGATTTCTGGAAGAGGTGAGGTTTGAACTGAGTTCTTGAAAGATTTTGATAACTGGAGGAAAAGGAGAAGGACATGATTGGACCCCCGGGTTTGGTGGTAGGAAGAGTTGGGCAGCCAAGCAGGGGCAAGAGAGATGTGGCGGGAGGTGAGACCACCAGGCAGATAGGTAACCATCACCAACCAACATTTTCAGTCTCCCTATGCTCCCTTCTGAAAGGTGGAGGAGCTTAGGGGAAGAGACACAGCTCTGCCACTTGCTGGCTTGTCAGATCATTTACCTTCTCTGTGCTATAATTTCCTTAGTCTGTTTTTGAAGATTGAATTAGTGAAGACACATAAAGCATCTAGAACATGGGCCGACTTCCAATAAGTGCCTGGTGGACATTAGCGAATATGCATATTGTAGACAAGGGTCTTCCTAAGGATGCCAACTTCACTGGGTTATCCCTCTCTTAGGCCACAAGATTTGGCCTTCGATGCTACCTGTCTCTAGTACAGAGTTCTCCCCCAGGATGTGGTTCCTGTTGACCTAAGCCATGCCCTCTTCACCCACCAAATGCTTAAGTCAGTCTCCCCTCTTTCTCACCTGCCCACGTAGGCCTCTAGGCTGATACGCTGGCTTCTTGGGATGTGATTAATTCTGATCCGTGCTTGTTGGGCCTGGACAGGGAAGCAAAGCTGCAAAGAAACCTGAGTAAATGCTTTCTGGGAGTTCACAGGGCACAAGGCCAATTTCAGTTTGAGGGTCAGCCAGGTTCCAGGCATCAGAGCTAGGTCCCCAGAGAGTAGGCGTTGGTGCCTCTGTGTCTCCTCAGTGGTAGCCAGCTCCTAGTCCTGCATGCACCCAGGCTTGGGAAATACCCCTGGCTGTTTGCAGGACAGGGTTAGAGCAGCATCTAGCTGTGCAGTGACAGCCCGAAGATCTCTAAGAACAAGGTTGGGACAGGATAACAACCTGGCTCTTCCCAGCAAAGGGGAAAGTGGAGAGGGGATTATCTTGTAACACAGAGCCTGGGGCACCTAGGTGGCTCAGCGGGTTGAGCCTCTGCCTTCCGGCCTAGGTCGTGATCTCAGAGTCCTGGAATAGAGCCCCACATCGGGCTCTCTGCTCAGCAGGAAGACTGCTGCCCCCTCTCCCTCTGCCTGCCTCTCTGCCTACTTGTGATCTCTCTCTCTCTCTCTGTCAAATAAATAAATAAAATCTTAAAAAACAAAACAAAACAAAACAAAACAAAACAAAACACAGAGCCTGGGCCCTTCCCCATGCCCAGCCCAACTGGTTGCAAACCAAGAAGACCTTGACAGTTCTCTTTAAACTCTCAGGTTCACCTTCCCCCCATTTTGCCCTTCTCACCCACTTCTGGGACTTTCTGCCAACACTTTCCACCCTGCAAAAGCTTTCTCTTAAATCCCGGGAACCAAGTTTCTCTAGATCACTGTTTTTGTTTTTTGGTTTTTGTTTCTTAACAAGTTGTGCCGTGGTGAGATTTCTTGTGTATTTATCCTGCTTGTGGTGCATTCTTCAAATTTGGAACAATTTCAGCCATATTTTATTCTAAATGGTTTCAGTATTTCTTCCGTCCCAGCCACCGTTTCTCAAAGATGGTCTGCATCAGACTAACAACACCCCACTCAAAGAAGAATCTCCTAGGGACTCAGAAGTCTGTGTTTCCAGCAAGTTCCTGGACATCTCAGGCCCACTGTACCAAGACCACTCAGCCAAGACTGTGGGTGCTTCAGTGGCAGGTCCTGGATGTCACTCACCTCTGTCCCCAGTCTCTGTGGGGCCCGTTTGTTGCATGGAACATTCACTGGGGACTGAACTCAACCAAACTGGGGCTACCTCCCTTCCCAGGCTCCTAAAGTCCTGACACCAAAAGGATGATACTCAGACCAAGAATTTCAGGCTTTAGCTGGCAGAGGAAAGAAACTTCGGGGGCTTTGAGGGACTCTCCTCAATTCACCAAAGAGGCATGCAGGGAAAGCACTCTTGCTGACTTCGCCACACTGGACCTGTGTTCTCTGTAAAATGTAGATGAACATTTCTGTGGTGAGGGCTGAGGTGATAAAGTCAGCCTCAAAAGTTAGAAGTTTTGGGTGTCACACTTCTCTTTGGGGTTAGGGGTAGGGGAAAAAACAAGGGAGCAGGTGAGAAATTATTACTTGCCAGCTATTGCCTAGAAAATACAGAGAGAAACAGACAGATAATGTACCAGGCTAATAAGTAGGCACACACCTTGTGTGTGTGGGTTGGATCAACTTTACGGAGGCGGAATTTACATATAATGCAGTGTACTCATGTAGGAGCATTGTTTTATGAGTTTCGACAAATGTGTTTCCTTGTATAACCTCTATCACAATACAGATCATTTCCATCACTCTAAAAGTTTCCTTGTTATAATCTATCCCCACCTGGCTCCAGGAGCCCCTAATCTGCCCTCTGCTGCTTTGGGTTAGATTGGCCGTTTCCTAGAATTTCAGATACAAGGAATCACCCGGTATGGACTCTTTTCCCTGCCAGCTTCTTTTGCTCCACATAACGTTTGTGAGGGTTGTCTGTGTTTTTGCTCCTAATAAATATCTTTTCCTTTTCGTTGCTGTTTTGTGTTCTGCTGTATGGCTACACCACAATCCGTTCACTCATTCTCCTGTTGAAGATTGAGGTTGTAGTTTGGGGCTATTGTGAAAAAAGTTGCTGTGAACATTCTTTTTTTTTTTTTTTTTAAGATTTTATTTATCATTTGACAGAGAGAGATCACAAGTAGGCAGAGAGGCAGACAGAGAGAAAGAGGGGAGCAGGCTCCCTGTGGAGCAGAGAGCCTGATGCGGGGCTCGATCCCAGGACCCTGGGATCATGACCCGAGCTGAAGGCAGAGGCTTAACCCACTGAGCCACCCAGGCACCCCTGCTGTGAACATTCTTCCACAACTCTTTTTGTGAACATGTTTCTATTTTGCTTGGGAGCAGAATTGGTGTGTTATATGGTAAGTTTATGTTTATGTTTTTGTTTTTCGTTTAAGTAGACTCCACACCCATCATGGAACTCAGTATAGAGCTTGAACTCACGACCTTGCGATCAAGACCTGAGCTGAGATCAAGAGGCTGCTGCTTAACCGACTGAGCCACCCAGGAGCCCCAGTAAGCGGAGGTTTAACTTCAAAAGAAACTGCCAAACTGTGTTTTGAAGTGAATGTGTTATGTTCCCACCAGCAAAGTGTGAGAATTCCAGCTGTTCTACATTTTGCCAGCTCTTGGTGTTGTTGGTCTTTTGTAATTTTAGTAATTCTGGTTAGGTGTGTAATGGTCTCTCACCGAGGTACACATATGCCTATCCCCCAAGATCTTCTGGAACCATTCCTCCTGACCACACACTTCTCCCCAGCTCTCCAATCATTTCTCTGTTTCTTCCATGCTCTAGGCCCCTTGCCCGGATTTCTCATCCTCTTGAAATTTCCATAACGGAACCCTTCTCATCATTCAGGCCTCAGCACAAATGTCACCTCCTTGAAGACTTTTATTCTCCTCTAAAGGTGGCCTCAGCACTTTTTATCCCACTTACCCTCTTTGTGTTCTTTGTAGCAGTGAGCCCTATCTGATAGAATCTTATTTGTTTGTCTACTTGTTCTCTGTCCCATGAGAACCTTAAGTCCATGAACAGAGGCATCTTGTCTGTTTTATTTACCTAGAACAGTGATTGATAGATAGATGTTTAATATATATGGCTGAAAGGCTTTGCAGTCCAAAGGATGCATTCAGCATATTGGCCTTTTAGGTCCTGGGAATGAAAGGCTATGCACATCAACAAAATACAAATATTTAAAACATAAATTATTTGTATTGTCTGGGCCTATTCAATTTCGCATGTAAATATGCTTTAGAAATCTAAAAATATACAAAAATAGAAAGAAGAGGAAAATTGACCATCGTTTCACCAAATTACTGTGGTTTAAAAGTGTAAAACATTTTACGTTATTAACTAGTTTTATTTTTTTTAATTTTAATTTTAATTTTTTTTGGATTCCCTTTATTTATTCATGAGAGACAGAGGGAGAGAGAGCCAGCGGCAGAGGGAGAAGCAGGCTCCCCAGCAAGCCGGGGGGCTGATGCTGGATTTGATCCCAGGACGATGGGATCATGACCTGAGCCGAAGGCAGATGCTTAACTGACTGAGCCACCCAGGGGACCCTATTAACTAGTTTTAGATTTTTTATTTATTTTTTAAAGTTAGCTTTTGAATAGGTAATATGTGCGCATAGTCAATATTCAAACAGTATATCCTTTCGGAAAAGGTTGCTCATATACAAACATAGATCTATCTATTTGCATTTTTTCCTCAAAAAAGCACCATACTGCATACATTGTTCTGTACCTTGCTTTTTTCACTTAACAATTTATCTTAGAAATCATTCCACATCAATAGGTGTATCATTTAAGACTATATTCAGCTGTGAGTGACAGAAAATTCAAAATACCAGTGCCTTGTAAGATTGGACATTGATTTATCTCTTACTGATAAAATCTAGAAGTAAGTAGCCAGGCAACACTACGACCTGACAATTATCAGATTCCTTCTGCCTTTTGCTGTGACATGCTCAGCATAGGGCCCTACTTCATAGTCCAAAATGGCTGTCTGAGCTCCACCCATTACATCTGCATCTAGCCAACAGAAAGAGAAACGGAAAGAGAGGTACATGCTTCCTCCCATTAGTGATACTTCCCGTGAGTTTTCTGCTCAACTCTCATTGGCTGGAACATAGGGACGTACCTAGTTGTAAGGGAGGCTGGAAACATTTTTTTTTCTTTTAAGTAGCCTCCATGCTCAATGTGGGGCTTGAACTCATGGCCCTGAGATCAAGACTCACATATTCTACCAACTGAGCCAGCCAGGTGCCCCTGGGTAATATTCTTTATTCCAGGTAGCTATATACCATGTTGAAAATCAGGAGATGAGGGGAATAGTTTTTTGTTGTTTTGTTTTTTTTTTTAAGATTTTACTTATTTAAGAGAGAGCACAGAGGGAGAGGGATAAGCAGATTCCCTACTGAGCAGGGAGCCTGATGGGGGGCTCGATCCCAAGACCCTGAGATTACAACCTGAGCCAAAAGCAGACTCTGTACTGACTGAGCCATCCAGTTGCCCTGAGGAGAATGGATATCAGGGAATAACCAACAATCTATGCTACAATATACATAGATTTGTCTCATTTTTAAAAACTGATTTTTTTATAGCCAGCTGTCCAAGGAAGAGTGGGAATCCTTCACCAAGCCTCATGTTCTGCTCTTCCAAATTGAAGTCTCCCTTGGGTGTGTGATTGATAGAGTTAGGTCACATGTCCATACTCTAGTTGCCAGGGAGGCTGGGAATTAGAGTCTTGACTTACAGATTGAGGACAAAACTCATAATAGGGGAGGGGCGCCTGGATGGCTCAATGGGTTAAAGTCTCTTCCTTCAGCTCAGGTCAGGATCTCAGGGTCCTGGGATGGATCCCAGCATCCAGCTCTCTGCTCAGCAGGGAGCCTGCTTCCCTTCCTCTCTCTCTGCCTGCCTCTCTGCCTACTTGTGATCTCTGTCTGTCAAATGAATAAATAAAATCTTAAAAAAAAAAAACACCTCATAATAGGGGAATTCTTCCAAATACAGAAAAGCAACTTAGAATATGGACCAATTCTCCTGTCAGAGACAACTACATTAAATCTTAAAATATTCAAAAAAAAATTTTTAAAAGATTTTATTTATTTGTCAGAGATAAAGAGAGAGAGTGAGCA